AGAAAGAAGAGAGGAAGGAATTTATTTGGTGATATCCTTAGAATCTTCTTTTTTTTTCATTTGTACATATTTTTTTTTCTGGATCTCCTGTGTTTAAAAATTTTCACTTGTATTTTTTTTAGCATTAGAATGTCTTTTTTTAAATTTGTTCTTTTATTATAATTTTTGCATACACCCCTTTGCATTTTGTTCTCAACAAACTCCACACACACACATCACACAAACTATTTTCGCAATGCATCTTTTTTTTTTTTTCACATAATCAATTTCCTTGTTAATTCAGTTCCAACCAATCGCTCGTTCTCTTCAATAAATGGAAATTGAAAATCTTGTACAATATTAGTAAAATGTCGGTCTCACAACTGCAAGGAAAAAATTATTCTTGTAAAATGGAAACGTTCGAGTGCTATTGACTGTCCACTCTTGGCGATTGTGCTTTTTTTCAGAGAGAATTTTGGATTTTCGTCGTCCTCTGGACGTTAAACGCGCGTGATCGAAGTAATGTTTTTATTAACACGTTTTGACGTAATGTGTGATCGGATTTGTAAACAACCAAATTAAAAAAAAAAAAAAAACCAAGAAACCACGTGCAATGTAAATAGATATGTGAGTGGAAAGGTTATCGAAATGTCATTTAATTTGTCTAGTTTATTTTCGGTAAGATTTTTCTGCTTCTTGCGGTATTATTAAATTCGTCCTACCGACACGAAAGCACAAATAAACTTCTCGTGGATATAGTCGTTAGAGTGAGGTAGATTACGAGTAAGTAACCGATCAAGTCGATTCCATCCAGCATAGCATTTGGAGGCTATCTTAATTGGTGATTGCGACAGGTAAAGAATCGATTGATCAAGGTATCGGGGTTAGATGTGCTGCATTATTTATGAAGAGCGTGGGATTAAGCAAAATTGTCATAGCAAATATGCAGGAAAGAATTATTGTGAAATTTGACTTACCTGTTCTGTTGGCTTTCCTAAATCGGTCCTCGTTCCAAATATACTGTGAGGCAGGTGTACGTACATACGAAATCTATGGTCAGATGACGAAGTTTTTTAGTCAAATGTATGCACTCATCTTGAAGTAATTCTGATGTACATGTGCTTAAGCTTGGCCTTGGAAATAATTCCGATGTTATATGGGCGTAGTTTTTCAAGGCACTGATTACGTACTCGCATTTCGATGGACGTTAGGGGAATTCTCACTTTCCAAGTTTTATGTCATCAAAATGAAAGTTTCCTAAAATTAGTACCGGCTATAGTGGGAAGTGTAACATGAGTCATCATGTCATCTGCTCATAGATAAATAGATTAATAATGTACTGTTATGGTAAGGTAAGAATCTTGAAAATTGGGGTTCTTTTATTCTATTTCTCGGATCACCGGCTCTTCTATACAACCTTGGAAAATTTCTCAAGGTGACACACGATGTAAACTATTCCCCACATTTGAAGGTAATCGTTAGGATCATTAGAGATACAATAATACCTTTTTTATGTATCTCTGAGCAATAATACCTTCTGTTCACACTTTGTTTTTATCTATTCGGTTAATGATTGCCCTCTTGTTTCACCCTTGTTTGATAGAATAGTATTTACCTAATGATGGTAATACACTTGTTCCATTTTTCATAGAAACAAGATTCCGTCGCATTAGGCAAGGGGAACACTGAGGTAGGTAATCAAAGTTTTGTTTTGATGGTTCCCCCATTCAAAAGTGACAGGAGAAAAAAGAAGCGAAAAACAGGTTCCTAATCAGGTGAGTTCTGTAGGACAGAAATGACAGGAAAACCAAGGGTTTCACATCCATTTTGGAATAATCGTACCGAGGAGATATCGAGGAGATATCGAGAAGGTTGTGATTACAGGAAGGAAATTTGCTGAGGAATGAGTTACAAATAAAAATAATGAATTATATCATAAGTGAAAGAATGAGTGAAATATCACATGGTGATAATTTTGGATGAAGTACAAATCAATCTTGATATTGGCAAAAGAGATTGAAACCAAAAGAGAGGAAAATACACATTCCTGAAAACTATAATAACATCAAATATATCAAATATAAATAATACAGTAAACATAACTATGAACAGGTGGAATCATTTCTACTTGTGTATATCTGTTCCCTTGAACATTGATGACAACCAAGATAATGTTTAAGAACAGGTAACCTCACTTTGATCCAAGTGTTTGTACATTGAATATTCGACGATGGTTTTAAAGAACAAGTGAAAGATTCGGTCGAAGACTGTTTGTGTAATGCTGGCTTGGTCGCATTTCAGGTTTCGGATGTTCTTGCATCATAAGGCAAGGAGTTTAGCACTTTGTAAGATCATTGAATGTACCGAGGAATACGCATCAAAAATGTGTGGGAATTGTGGATTCGTAAATAACGATCTCGGTGGAACAAAGACATTTCAAATGTGATTCATTTCGTGCGATTTGGAAATCGACAGGGTCAGGTGTGTGAACCTGACTTTGGGGATTTGAACCTATATGAAATCCGATTTTATTGGATTTAATTTCAAGGGAGATAAGATTTACCTTCTATGAGTATCCATCATTGACTGACGTAATTATTGACATGGAACCGATTCTACGCTCTTCCACCCTATTTTATGCGGAGTCCTCATAGTGAAGAGCTGATATTGTAAAACGATTAGATCACAAGGTCGTTATTGAAATATGAATGCAGAATCAATAAACACGATTTCAAGTGGAAGCTCAAAAAGTGTGGCGAAAACTTATTGAATGATTAAGAGATTATACAACGCATTCAAAGATACACAACAACAGATTTGGCATATAACATATTTCTATGCCAAATTATTAACATGCGTACAAACAATCGTTGTGAAAATCAAACAAGAACGTTATGTAGTGAACGATCTGAATGTATGAAAAAAAATTCCATGAACTTGCGTATTGATATCTCAATTCAATTACCATTCCCAATGACAATAATGATGTGGTCTTTATACTGTATATCATGTAGCGCACACGCATCTGCGCGCTTCTTTGTCGAACGTAAACAGGTTTCTTATCAGGAAATGCATTGACATGATTGCGCAAGGCATAACGCAACACTCAAAAATTATAATAGGAAACTTGATTCCTCATTTTATGACGAATGTCGTACAGTATATACAAATTCCATTATTATCAAGACAAAGATTAGTGGTGACAAAGTAATCCTCATTTCCCTCATCCTTCCAAGAAAGAGCCCACAATACTTCGTAAATTGCATGCATACACTGGCATTTGGTATGTAAAAAAGTGTTGCATAAGCACGTGAATAACCGTGAAGTCTTACGTGGTAAAAGGGCAAGTGAAATGAATGATAAAGTGTAAGCCGCGAAAGAAAATGGAATGCTCGTCACACAATATATAGTACACATGATTCGTGTTACAAAATGTCACGTGTCATACGTTCGAACAAGTCCCCTTGTTGAAGTCCACAATTATAAAACTTCGGAAAGCGAGTCTCGTCGCTTTTTAGTTTTCATAAGTTAGTCGAATCTCTTGATAACGCAAAGAACCCAAGACCGTTGAACTCTGCTCGCGATAATGATTGGTTCACGTGATTTTATCGCAGAAGATGATGAACGCGTTCTTTATGGGGAAAACCGTCCTACAAGAAGTCACCTTGTGTTGCACGCGAAATTAGACGGAAATCTTGTCTCGCATGTTAATTTTGATTGGTAAATATTGATATCTAACTACAACTCGAAAAGGACAACTTTTAAATCAAGATAAATGATTCTTTGGTAGAGTACCCTGTGAACTTGTATTTTAAAACATCTAGGATTTATTCCGTTTTCTTTAACAAGTCAATTATCGTTGATCGCTAAATCATCAAGATGTCGTTATCATCTCACCATTGTTGATTAGATCGAGATTTTCTTCTTCTTTTTTTTTTTTTGGATGCAGTTTTTGATTGGTGAGAGACTCCCTGATTCGGATGTAATTACCAAGACTTCGTACCTCATTATGGAGAAAATTGAATTCATTGTTTTCCTGGTGGCTCGGTGAAAAACCTTCCATGTATGGTAAACAACAAGTCAGAAAAAAATATTCATGTCGTTACAAAGAAGGGAATCCAAAAATCAGGCCAAGTTGCTCTCTTAATCCGCAAATCTCCTGAACCTAAATTTTTTAAAAAAATTTAAAGCTCTAATCCATTCAAAACTTTAAACACATCACTATTATATGCCCACTTTCTAATTTCAATGGTCAAACTTTTAACAGGTAAAACTTTACGATCGGTAAGCATTGTCTTGTTTATCAGGAAATGATAATCTTTTTGTTTACGGTTTGCTCTTAAAAAAAAATATTATTAACAATATAACCACGATAATTAAGCATGATGATCTTGGGGATCATAGATTCTATCGGGAAGTGGAGATTGCGAATGTCATGATCGTACTTTCCGAGAATAATACAACAATGGACAATACATCCTAGTGAGCTGGTTTTTTTCTTCTCCTCGCATGTAGAAAGGCAGCCGTGAGAATTTCAATTGGATCCTTGAAACGTTGATTGGATCAAGACCAACCTCATTGCACGAGAAACATAAGATCCTTGAAAAAAAAAAACTTTCTTTTCTTTCTAGGAATTTCAACTAGACAAGGAGATGCAAAACATGTGATTTCTATATCTCGTTCATGGGAAATCTCGCGAGAAACCCTTTTTTTTTCTTCGTGGGCATAAAAGCACCAACGCCAAAATGCAGGGGTTACAAGATTCAAAATTTCCCGAGATTTTTTTAAGACCTTTGTTAGCTGATTTTTAAAACGGTGGGCCTTTGATTTTGAAAAAAGAATCTCGCATCATTATATTCGCAAAGCAATAAATACTCTGGTTTTCCCTTCAACTTCTTCCTCACAATTGCAAACCCCAATCGCAGTTGTAATTAAACAAAAGGTCCTACTCAATCAATCATTTCAATTACTTTACGATTCTTCACTCTTCTCTTTCCCATAACTATCTTCTACGAATCAAGATGAGCACCTTCAACAACGTCACCGAAAAACATACACATACCATTGCCATCTCGGCCACTGACACTTGGTTTGGCTTCAGTATCGCCAGGAATCTCCTTACAGACTGTGGAGGGTATAGGCATCACATCACCATTCGTTGTTTGACCAAGAACCCCAACTCGAAACCTGTTGAAAGGTTGCGATGTCTTGGCGGTGAAATCCACGAAGTCGATTATAACGATGAAAAATCCCTTGATGCTGCTCTCCATAATGCTCACTACTTGGTATTCGTCATCGAAGAAAATGAAAAACGCGTTAAGGAAGCCAATTGTTTGGCAAAGGTATTCTTTTTCTTCGAATCCGTACCAACACTCTCAACCATTAACAACCATCTCATCCGAATTTAGGCCGCCGAAAAAAATGATGTGAATAACGTTATCGTCAGTTCCATGGAAGGTGCCGGTGATGGACATGGCCAGATCCTGAGAGATTTCAGAGAGGTGGAAAAGACCTTTAAGGAAACCGCGAGAAGTGTAGTAATTCTTAGGAGCGCCTTCATTCAACAGGCTGTAAGAATTCATTTATGATTCAACCAACCAACCCTCCGAGAAATGGCACATGACTAATTGTTTTTTTTTTTTCTTTAGATGTTCCTCTGGTCCCATAGTATTGAGGAAAAAGGCGAAATTATCATGACACCAGGCGAAAAAGACGAATTCGCCCCTTTCAATTTGGAAGATCTCTTCAACGCCATCAAGGATATCATGATCCAAGAAGGAAAGGTGAGAGAGGAAATAAGTCAAAAGCATCA